TTCTTCTTCTTCTCTCTCCTCTCTCTCTCTCTCTCTCTCTCTCTCTCTCCCCCTATTGCCATTTCTTACATTTAATTCCGCCTTGTCTGGTAGTGATCTCTACCTCTTCGTCACGACCGCGAGAGCTCACCTCTGGACTTTCGTAAAATATGTATCCGCGTCTCGCTGATAATAAGAAGAGAACTCGCGAGCGAGCGAGGAGAGGCTGAGCTCTCGACTCCGATCTCGCGACTTCGTGGAGCGGAGTGATTTCCTCGTTGCCCCCCTTGATTTACGTTTGCCAATGATTTATGCCGGCGCCGTGTCGATTAATAAGCGTAGCGTGCACAATGTAAGGTTTGAAGCCCAGCGCACTGGCATACATTAGTAAATAGCTGCGGTAAGAATATCATGTACAGGAATGTACAAGAATTTCAAGCCACACTCATTCTCCGACATTGTTCATAGATTTGATACGCAAGCCTATTTTCGACAGAAAGTAATTCAACATAAAGTTCTCAATCTTTAAATAACGTGCATCTTTACCTGCGAAGAAGACAAGCCAACCCAGATGCCAATACGTTTTGAAAACAATTCGCGTATCGATCCCTTTGAACAAATACACGATAATACACGAACAAATACACGGCGACCCTTTTTCGCCTGTTATTTCAGGTACTCCTCTTTTCAACTCTGAATGATCTTACCCACGTTTTTTTCTTTGCGCGATCGGATTATACCAGGTCGTATTTCAAAGGGAGTCTGCTTAGTCGTGTGTCAAAACAGGCGTATTTGCCAGATTCACCGTCGCAAAGAAAATATGGCAAATCTTTTCCTTGTTTTGTAAACGTTTGCAATTTAATAAAATGTTGCAATCCATGTCTAGGATTTAATTTACTTTTTCAATTTATTATTGTCCTTGTCAAATTAGATTATTTTTTGCAATTTGCTAAATCAATTACTCGCTGTATGCGTGACATAGAGATGAATGTGAATGTTCGCTCAATGAAATGAGCTCAAATTTATCGATCTGCTAAGCCCAAATATTTATATACTCTATGGAATGGCAAATTTTTAAACAAAAATAATAATTATTTCAAAACCGCACTTTTCGAAACGAAGAAACAATTGTTATATAAATAAATGAAACTTTCCTATATATATATCTCAACCTTATATAACAGAAAAAATTATAGAATAAAAGCCAAATATTACACAACCGACGAAAGGTGAGGTCAATTAAAATCGTATTATTATTATTATTTTAAAGCAATCATGTTTAACAGTTAGAACGATGAAGACGATCGCAGGGTCATTATCCACGTCTGTGATAACGACGCTACCAGATCGCTTCTTTTTGAATCGGGGACCGGAAAGGGTACGGAGAAAAAGAACGAACGGTCGACCTCGTTTCTCGTTGCCATCCTTCCTCATCATATACCGGAATGAAATTGCCCGCGGAAGGCCGGCGGAAGGCCGACCCGTAGACTTTCTGAGGTTAACCGTGCCGCCTGTTAATGGTCAGAGCCACGAAAGCCGACCGTATTTTAAAGTCGCCAGTAGTCAGGCAGCGAACTCTTTTGCGGCGTCGATTAACTTCAGCGAGAGCGCCGAAACGAAGACATGAGAATAAGAGAAAAAGGGAGCTCACGTTTTTACTCACGTTTCTTAAGAGACGCAGAAGACCGGATAATTGAGGGATCTCTCTACATTCACACCGAATTTATCGCGCTGAAGTAGCTTAAGGCAAGGATACAGAAGTTTGTAAATACATAATCACAGTCTATATAATTCAATGCTAAATGCGATATTTCCTCTCTCTAGGAAATACTTGTATCACATAGCGATTCTCATTAATCTATATATTTTTCACTTTCACAAAGAATTTCTGACTGAGAATTTTTGGAATTGATTTTTCTTTTTTTTTCTTTCGAGCTTGAGTCACAAAACAACACTTCGATTATAAAATCCGAAAGTTTTGATAAAGAATATATCCTATATAAGATCAACATCTTTTTTTATGTTATCCCGTTAACGTATCGTTTAAAAAAGCGATCGATATACGAGTGATTTTCGAGTGCCGATTCTTTATCTATTCGCTCTCATCCCACGGATTCCTGCGGCGCGAAAGAAAGTTTATTGGAGATCGCGGTGATGAGAATACACCGCGATAATGCGATATTTCATCACGGACGTGGACGAGCTGAACGAAGTCGCGGACCTCCCGCATCGAAAGCGCCGAATGATCTCCCGAGAGCAGCTCCCGGTTATTGAATGTCGAACGCGAAGGAGCGAACGATCGATCGCGTGACGAGGCGAAAAAGAATCGAGCGCGCGCTATCTAGATGAAGTTCATTAGAACGTGCGCTCCGAAGTCGAACACGTTAAAGTCGTTTGCGTTACCGACACTAGTCCGTCCGTCAAGCGTGAACGAACCCGAGGAAAGGCCCGCCTCAGTTAAAAAAAAAAATAGGAGTAATTATCATCGGCTTTAAGTACCGTTTAGTACCAGCGATCGTTATCACTGTTACAGCGACCTCTACAAAGTACCGATCATTAAAAAGCTTCCGTTCTCCATTAATGATTTTGTACCATTTACAAATTTCAATTTTGGGAAAATAACGTCCATCTTTTTTCAAAGATATACAGAAAATATTGTTATCAAGAACGAACATCATTATAGGTTTTCTGTATACATTTGGTAAAAAAAGAAAAAAGTTTGTTATATTTAATTGAAACTCAAAGAAAATGATTTTATATTGTTTTCCAAATTTGTATTACTATTTGTATTTGTATCATTTGTAATTTCTTTTTATATTACCATTAAACCTTCTTATATTTCTTATAGTTCATTCCATTAGTTGCATTAAATATCAATTTATTAACAGTATTTCAATTAAATATCAATTTTATTAACAGTATCTTGTGCCATCATTGTTATGAATTTGTCATTATTATTATTATTATTATTATTATTAAAATTGAGATGACTATCAATATTATGTTTCGCTAAATATAATTTTTCGTTTTGTTAGCAATATATGTATGCGTTAAAATCGCCAATCTTCGACATATCGGTGATATGAATCGCGAAATGAATAAAACGCTCGCCGTATTTTAGAATGCAAAATGAATATTACGTTTACATTTGCTTTTACGTAATATAAATGTACGTGATACACGATATACAACTGGATGTGAGTGAATTACCAGATGTGAGCAAATCACTCACCAGGTTGTCTCATTAAGCATAATATCATTATCGAGACGCTAAATTACGCAGGAAAATAGCACGCTAAAGTAGTGCTGTGCAGCAGTAAGTTATATTCGAGTAACGTTATACTTTTCGTAAATCATATACTTACGCGGTCTGTCTCGCGGGCAGCACCGTCGTCATCGCTTACAATGTAAACGCGTAATATGACATTAACCGCACGGCGGATTACATGTCGAGGTGACATGCAAGACGAATCCAAATTTCAATAAAATTATCAAGAAGAAGCAACGATCAAATGTTTTTTTCTTCGTTCTCAATATGAATATTTATTTCATTATCGCATATTTTCGATAAATCGAAGCAAAAGTAACGAAAAATTTGTAGCGACTCTTTCATAAATATTTATTTTCTTATTGTCTTCTTGTAATCTAAGAGCAATCAAAATAAATATTATTATGGATAAATTAAAAGATAAAGATTTTAATATATGAGATTAATATATATAAAATTAATATGCTAATCAAAAGTAGTTGATATTATTTAAATGATGTATTAGTCAATTAATATGATAATTTCCATGTCAAACTCTTTAATTTTTTACTCAATAATTTATTTGATCATTTTTCGTGATGCATGAATTGTAAGAAAATACACACTTGAATATATCATTGTAAAAATGATCATATTAAAATCATCATATTATAAAATATATAGGAATATTAAAGTATTATATATGTAATTAAAAAAAAAATGTGTGAATATAAGAATACTAAAAGCCATCGAATTATTATCATTTTACTAAAGCTATCGTCAGATACATTAACGTACGTAAAATAGTGCAAAGATTTTCTGTCAAATTAGATTTCCGATGGTAACTACAATCATATTTTTAAAAATTAGAATGAGAACAAATGTAAGAAATTACTTATGCTTATTTTAAGATATGCAATACGATAAATATCATACGCTTAACATGGTTCACGATAAAAAATATAAGTAGGAAAATATCTCATTCTATGAGCACGGAAGGGTTAACCCTGAAGACTATGAAACACTTCACTTGCGTGAGAAGAATCTAACGCAGTTTGCATATATTACAATGATAAATTCGCATTTACCATGCCAGCGAAATGCTCGATGATGAAGAGGAAATATTTAAAAATATATTCCCATTTATATTTCTACAAATAGATAATTCTGTAAAAATATTATATACGGAAAAATTATAAAATCTGTTTTGGTTTTTGTGTTTGGTTTTCATTAGCGCAAAATTTAGTATTAAATAAATTTGAGGAATCAAAACTAATTTAACTTCTTTCTGAAATATTTCATTAAATTATACCTCAGGTTCCGTCATAAAATCAAGTATTCAGCTAATTAAAGATTCAAAAGTATTCAGATAATTAAAGATTCAAAAATGTTGATTACGGAAATGTCTGTTCTTGCTGTGCTTGGAAAAAAATAAAATAAACATCATTTCTTATCATTTTTGAGACAAGAAATGTCTGATAATGTTACTTAAAATTGCATTACATGACGAAGATAAAACGAAAAATTTTTGTACTCTCGTGGACTTTCCTCACCCTGTGACCCATTTGAACATGTTCGTGCAGGTTCGTGCAGGTTCGTGCAGATTCGTGCAATCGAGTGGGAAAGTCCACGAGCGCAAAAATTCCCTTTCATTTTTGATTAAATGTAGCATTTTCATAAGTACAATGAATACATGGGAATATTAAGAATAGGAATAAATATTAAATTTTAAAAATAAAAATTAAACGTAATACACAATGGACACAATGGACGCAAGCAAGTATAAGATATAGTTATATCTAACTTGTGTCTATTGCGCATTACATTTAATTTTTATTCCTAATTTTTATTTCCAAAATTTAATATTTTCTGTTTTTTATATTTCTTCCATTGTGCGTGGAGCCTAAGATGTTCTATATTTTTTTACATTAAAATATCACAAGGTGTATCATCGATATTTGTAACATAGCAACCTATCTTACAAATAGCCATGTCTCTTCTCGATTTAAATTCAACTTTTTATTTGTTCCCGTCATGTAATTTTAATAACTAGCACCATTGGATTCCTCGCCTCAAAAACTACGAAATGTCTGTTTTATTCTTTACAATTATAACAAAAATACAAGCTTTTCCGTAACACCTTTCTTTCTAATTATTCGATATGAATAAATTAACAATTATTTATTAGTTAGTTTCATTGCCGTGGATCCATTACACGATTTAATTTCATCATTAATATTTTTATAGTACATCGTTTTTATTGAACTCTCATAATTATATCGATATCATACTCCAAAATATATGCTTAAGCAATCAAAAAGATTATTCACGATTATTAATTTTGGTTATCTATCGATTATAATCTCGGAGTGTGTACGAAATTATTAATATTTCCATAAGAGTCGGCAGACTCACGCGCTGAAAAAAAGAGATGCATATAACGAATATCATCAAGACTCACCTAAATCGCACTGCAAAATCGACGAGCTATCCTCTCTCCTGAACGCCGCGGCGAGCCTCCAAGGATGCCGGTTATAGGCGCAGGGGTGGGGGGCAAAGTCTGTTCTGCACGCGCCCCCCCTAACGTCACTCGGGACCCCCCGTTTTCTCGACACGTTCCTCGTGTTCCGCGAGTGGCGAATGTACACTCACATACGGCCGCTGGGCTTGCTGTTATATCGTTATTCCGGGTCGCGCCTCGTGACTCCGATCGCGTTGCACATTCGCGATCGTTCCGGCGGCGCTCGAGCTTTTCTCCCTTTTCTTCCCTTTTCTCTTTTTTTTTTGTTTCTCTCTTATTCTCTCGTATAGATATACGCACTATATACGTAGCGAAGCACTTGATATCACCACGAGGAACCCGATGGTACCTGGGAACCCAGCATCACAACTCGAACGTGATTCTCGCTGCTCTTTTTCTTCACAAACAATCCTCGTCGCTCGTCGTTCTCACCGGTGACGACGGTCCGACACGCACGCGCGTTCGCGCGCGTGTATGCGTGTACACTTCAAGTTTCAGGGTTTCACTCTATCTCCTCCTCGTTCGTCCGTCTCACTCGCACTCACGAAACAGTCGTAAGCCGCACAGGATCATCGCGCGCGCTCGCGCGCGCGCGCGTGCAGCCGTTCGATTCCTCCCGGCTGCGTACACGCGCGTTCCGCTCTCGTCCCTTTACATACGCCGCAGGGGGCAGGTCTCCTCGGCGGACAGGCAATTGCTGATTTCCGGGTAATCCGCGACCGGGTGCGTGGCGGAGGCAACGCGCGAAACGACGTTCCGTCGCGGGAACAGATGTCGCCGCTTTGGCATCTAGAAAAGCATTCGAGACCGCGATCGATCAGAGCGCGTCGTCTTTCGGCGCGATCGGCGCGAATCGCGAAATAGCATCGCTGGCTGGCTGGCTGGCTGGTTAGCTGGATAGCTGGCTAGCTGGATAGTTGGCTAGCCGGCTGAGTGATTAGCTGACCAGCCGGCCGGCCGGCATGCGTGCGTGTCACGAAACCACGGGGAGCCAGGTATGGGCGCCGGGTTTCTTTCGTACTCTCTCTTTCTCCCTCTCTCTCTCTCTCCTCCCTCGCGCGCGCTCTTTTTCGACTCTAGCTTTCTCCTCTTTCTCTCACCCTGACTCGTTTGCTCGTTCGTTCATCGCTCATTCACTCTTCTCCTTTTCGCTCGTTGTGATTCACCTCGTCTCCTTTCTACCACTTGTTCGCTCACTTTCTCTTCCTCTTTCTCTCTCTCTTTCATTCCATTCGAAACGCGCCATCTCTTTCTCTTTTCCTCTCTGTTCTCTCTCACTCGACAAAACTCACATTTCACGCAACGTATGTGTGGACATCGTTCTTTCCATCTATTCGGCCCTTTTACCTCTCACCTTCACTCACGTTTAACAATGCGAATATCGCTTGCGCGCAGTCGAGAGCACGATTCGGTGACCAGTCATTCGCATCCCGCTTCGAAAATTATGGATGTTTTCACGCGAAATGGGACAAAACTTCAAACATCGAATCGATCGTCGCTTAATCCGCTATCATCGTCTCCAAAATCGTCGCCAACATCGCCGCGAAAAATCGCGTAGTAATACAACGTTCGATACGACTCGCAATCGAATGAAATTAGCGATTGATCGAACGCGCGATTGCTTACGCGATAATCGCGAGAAGTGCGCGAATTGTTTGCCGTGTTTGAAAAACTCGCGACTCGTCGCTGGCGACAGACTTTAGAAACCGGCCGCTAACGATCGCAATTATTCGAATTACTGGTGCCCACATCTCGAGATACATTCACTATCGCCGCGTGCAGCACGCAACGGCCTAGAAAGCTCGCATTTCCAAGCATGCAACACCATTCTAGCCTCAAAAGAGAGATTCTCAACAAAATTAAGAATTAATAAACTACTCTCTTTGACATCATGGCTAAGAGAGATCGCATACCAATGCTGTGTTTCATTTGACACTCGCAATGCTCTTAGAATCATTTCACCTTTGTGTTTACCAAATATTAGACAAAGACAACTGATGTTCATGAGCGTTGTAAGCGCCGAGTGGAATGTACTCTGAGAGGACCATTCCTGTTGAATAAACAGAAATAAATTAAATCTCTTCTCTCGCAAAACAAAAACAATATTCCGAATAGAAGAACAGAGACATATTATCGCGATGAAAACGCGATGACGAGAAGAGCACATTCGCGCGATTATAACGCGTTTTCTTCGAACTTCGAGCTTTAGCGCGCGTTCTCCATTCCAGACGGGGGAGAGTGAGGAAAAGGGGGAGGAAAAGGATCGCACACAGCACACAGCACACAGCGAATGCTCCGACAACGGCGAGGGCGGCACGGGCCAGGCGAGGCGCATCCATTACGGCGCGTCGTCGGCACGCACCAGCCCCGGCGTGCGTATCCTACACAGTCGTTCCTCGGCGCTAAAATGGCGATCGAAGTGACAGCTCTCGCCGCCGTCGCCTCTCCTCCTACACCCTCTCCCTGTCCTCCTTCACCTCCGCCGCGCCACCGTCTTCTCCTCTTCCACCTCGCCTCGTCGCCGGTGAGGCTCGGTTCGACGAGAGACTTGGCGCGCCGCACGACCGGTAGGCGCGTCCTCTCCCTTTTCCCTCCGATAACAACCGGGACGGATTACTTCTTTATCGCTTCTGAGAATGCTTTATTCTCCCTTTCTCTTCATTCGCGATCATACATTATCTTTTCTCTGTCTATCCCATTCGCACATATTCTCACTATCTCTCTTTCTCCCTCTTGCTTTCATACTTTCTCTCTCTCTCTCTCTCTCTCTCTCTCTCTCTCTGTCTTTCTCGCTTTCCATCCATTTCATTCTCCTGACATGCGGCGCGAGAGAGACGAGAGAGGCTGTTTACTCCTTTCTTCGGGGCTGGGCTTTTACCGAGCGTGCGACGACGACGCACCGCCTCGACGGCGGTGGCACGGCGATGAACGATGAACACGAAGACGCTGACGAAGATGGCAACAACGATCACGATTACGATTATAATTATTACGACGACGACGGTGATGACGACAACGGCGGCGGCGGCAGCGGTATTCGATGGCGGTTCTCTCTCGGAGGAATCTCTCTCTTTCTCTCTCTCTCCTCGGTCCCGGACGACGCCTAACACCACCACCTCCACCACCACCACCACCACCACGATGCCACCTACTCGATAGCAGTGCTTGCCCGGACTCACGGGACTCGACTGGGCTTTGCCAGGCCACGATACGCCCCTCACCCCCGCCGCTTCACCGTCGCACTTGCGCCGACCGGCTATCGTTCCTGCTTACCTACCCCCGTCTCGCCCTGTCCCCGGATACTAGCCGTTCAGCATGCCTCGATCCACCCCCAGCACAGTTGTACTAACCGTACGACACGCTGTGAACCCCCGCGGAGCTCCCACGCCCGCGGAGCAGCCAATCACCGCTCGCTGGTCGCAGGGACGTATCTTGCGAGAAAGCCAAAAGGGTTGCATACGAGATCCTCACAGCCAAGGTCGTCGACAAAGAGGAAGAGGGAGGAAGCTCGTACAAATTACGGAGGCCGAGCGATCTGGGAGATAAACCAAGGCGCATGTTGCATATATTTTTGTTTTTTTCACTGGTACCATTATTCTCATCAACCATTTTTTACTTTATAAAAAGAACTCTAAATTCATGTGACCTCTCTTATCTACATTTAAAAAATATATCTTTTCCTTTAAAATTTTATATTTTATTTATATAAGATTTATATATATTTATATAAGATAATTGGATTAATATAATGTAAAATAATTTGTATATTTTTTTCATTCATACTTCATACCACTTCTCAATTTCTTTGAATGTAAACGATGTATTTTCCAGGATTGAAAAGTAACGCATTATTTGCAACATCATTATTGTTGCAAATATCTTTTTAGTGATGAATTGATAACGATTTTATATATTTTTTTTATTAATAAAACGGTAACGCACTTATATTTTTGAGTAATGATAACAAATATAATCGTTACTTTTATTGTTACATATATAATTATTATATTCTATACATGTATATGAAACAAGTCTCAAAAAAAGATCTTCAAAATTTAATGAAAAAGAAACAGAAACTGTAACAACTTATTACTTCTTACAATAAAGAAAAGCAACGAAATACTTTTTTTCGATTGGTAATAAGTAATGATAAGGAATTACTTTTTAAAATTAACTTTCAATCTAAATATTTTTCTTGTATAACTGCTGTTCCATTTTCATAATCGCAAATTCTTGGTTAAAAATATATACGTGAAGTTAATTTTTCGAACAATTTTTATTATAATTTTCAGTATTAAATATTTTTTTATATTTAAATCAAAATGCAATGCATTTCCTTATCTATCTTCGTTGAAATTCATTTCAATGTAAAGGAAGTATCTTATTCTAAATTATTTCTTAATAGTTATTGATATCCGAATGTATGTTCTCATTCTGAATCTATTATTAAACATTGATGCGTTAGTGGCAAGACACCCGGTATAAATTCTCGACGATAAATGACTGCACGCGCGAGACGACACGCGTTAAGACGCAATGATGAGAACGTGAATGAAGCGGCAGGGGAGAGGGGGCCGCGTATGCAAATGCACATATTGCTCTCGACATTCGACCTCTCGCACCGAGTAAGATAGGCGAAGGAAGAAGATGGGAAACAGAGGAACGGAGATAATTCGCGGGGAGGAAATCGCGTGTTGATCGTTTTCCCTTATGCGAGGTCGGTCGCGCACGAATTTTTTCGCGTCCCTTTGAAGTTAGCCGCTCAAACTCGAGAGTTACTAACCAAGCCGCGAATATCGGCCGTAAAACAAGCCCCACCTTACGTCGCCGACTTCGCACCTTGAGGATTGCTGTTCTTTCTTTTAAGCGATTTAAACGTGGGAGAATTTACATTTACAAAAGTCAAATGCTTGTTGAACCCAATTTTCGTATCTTTCATGATTCTAGACACTTCCTAGACACGATGACAGTTGAATATGAGAATACTTATGTACAAGAAACTGAAGGTTCAAATGTGTTTCCTGCATTCTTTCATAGAGTACCTCATATATTAGACAAATCCAAAGAGTTAAAAAGAACCAAATTCGGTAAAAAATTTCAATTTTAGAATTTCAATCTCTATTGTGTAAATTATGAGTCGTCGGATCTTAAAGAAATTTTCAATACAAATTAATAACTCGAATGAAATAGATAACAGATGTGTGCACTTGATAGAAAAAAAAAACATAGCGTAAGAAGCCTAAAATTTTTGTTAACAATAAGGAAAGGGGATAAAATTATGATCTTAAAGTTGTTGATTTTTTTCTAATTTTCTTGGTGATATAAAAATAATGACCGTTTTTTTATCTGATTAGCTAATCTTATCTATCATTTGCAGAAAATTTAAATAAATTAGAATTTTATATAATTTAAATTTTCTAATAACGTATCAAAAAAGATTTCGTCATCTTACAAATGCACTCAAAATATATTTCTCATTATATTATCTATATTGATAGATTAAAGTCAAATTACAATAGATTATCTATTATCTATTATCTATTTTCTAACCTTTAATTTAAAGCCTCAACTCATCTGTTATTAGCTTAAAAAAAAATTAATAAATCATCTAATCAACTCCGTCATCTTACTCCCCCCTTTCTCCAATATAATTTAAAAGTTGCATCGAATCGTAGAGAGTTAAAAATGATCGGCAGTAATCGATCGAGCGTTAAAGTCAATTCGGTTAAAGTCAATTAGCGCCAACCCTTGTTTGATCTGAACTTCGTTTAATCGGCTGGCTCGCAACTCACCTATCCACCCGGCAGCGCGTGGCCGAACGGTGCTTAAAACAACGCAAGTATCGGATTATGTTCGTTAGGTGTCGGGCCGATGGCAGTGTCACTTTCAGTTATTTATGCGCGCGTAGCGTATAGCAGCGTTAGGTTTAATTTAATTTCCGCTGTTGATCTCGGAACGTTCGAGCGTGCCGTGCCATGCCGTGCCGTGCAAAATACCAGGGCAGGTCGCCCGTAATTGAATCCGTAACGGCGAGCAAATCAGCACAGCGGTCATTACGTTACATGAGTCGTACACTGCGAGGCGATCGACGTTCGTTAGCCAATCGTTCGCTTAATTGCCGGGGACAGGCGCGATAGACCCCGGTTAAGCCGCAGCTTTGTGTTTTAAGCGTGTTTAAATAAACACACTCGGCCAGCCAGTAGCGACGATCTAATGGATCATCGTGTTAAATCTGCATTATTATTATCACTTTTCAAATAGATTTATTCAAGGGATAAAGAAAGAAACAGTGCATTCAGAGAAAAAAGTGCCAGCAACTAAAAACTTCAGGACAAATAACGACTCAGTTATGTGTTATAAAGACACATTGCATAAGAACAATAAATAAATAAAAATGTTATTATAATTATGTTAGTTATTATATTATAAAAAAATATAATAATATTAATCATATATATTATATATTAATCATTTGTAGTAAATCATTGGATGAATTAAAGTGTTGTTATAAGTGTTGTTGTCAGAATGTGTCTTTCTAAATTTATCTCAATAATATGGCATTGTTATTGAAACAAGTTATTTAAAAAAAAAAAACATAATCTAAACTAAACGGGGAATGTCATGAATCTTATTTGTACAAAGTATATATAATTGTAATTATAATTGAGTCGCTGTCAATTGATACACATATATTGTCGCTGTGATTACAGTATTCACTATATTACTTTAACTTTTATTCAAAGAATTTTTGGTCAAAACTATCGTTATATACCGTTTTTTTCTGAATGCGTTATTAGTCTCTCGTTTTTTCTTAATTGATTTAATGATGGAAATAATGCGTTGACACAGATATGCGATCGTTGAAGAGTTAAAATTACTGGCTCGCTTGTACATTAAATATGCGTTTTTTTACAATAAGTATAACGCAGCTTTCTTTGACAAGTAAAAAATACGCTATACGGATGAGCTTGTCGGTTGTCGAGGGAGACAAACGCGACAATCTGCGTATCCACCGCATAGCGGTCTTTGGCTACATTGCGCCTCAATATACAGCCAGGCGGGGTAGCGGTAGATACTCGTCGTTCGGCTGGCCACTGCGATAATTAGGTTTTACTCGGCTCGCTTTAATAATTCAAACAGCACGCAAAGTGCTGTCGCATTCTCTCGTCCTCGCGCGCCGCGGATCCCAGCCGCAGAGGCGGTCGTAACATTAGCGTCACCGTAGCCGCGGGCGTGTGACAAATTTTGCAAGGTACCCGTTGCCACCCCTTCTTCCCGCCCGATTCCCAGTAGAGCTCATCCAAGAATTGTTAACCTGTTTCCCGGAAGCGAGGTTACGAGGCGAGCGAGCGAGCGAGCGAGCGAGCGAGCATGCGCTCGAAATTAGCGAGCTGCAAAGCGTCCGGGCGCTCCGCGCTACAAGCGGATTCCGATCGAGATAATGAAAATTAACGACGTTAAAGCGCCGTCACGCCTGCAATTAATTATCACCACGATCCACGCTGCCGCCGCTGCCGCCGCTGCCGCCGATCGGCCCGCACGGCGTCCACCGCGTCGGACCCTCTTCTGCGCTATTGCTACAACATAATCGCGATATCAATCCTTCATTAATTCCCGCAGCCAAAGGACGACGCGCGGAGAGCCCGAGACTCTTCCTCCGCGCGCGGCGCGATTAATTCTACCGGGGTACTTTATAAGGCTACACACAGGGTGTCCCGCCGTCACCGGATATTAATGACGCGTTGCTCGGGTTGGTGCGTACTCGAGAGCGTTTTACGGTCGAGAATCGCCCGCATAGAAACGTAACTGTCGCGGCTCGTTGGCGATCACCCTCCGGATTTGCGTTCCTTTCCCTCGCAGCTGAATTTTACGGCGCTTAAATTGCGCTCAATCCAGCACGGAGTATCGCAATTTCGGCGATAAGAAAGACAGATAAAATTACATGGACAGACTCTCGAGTTACAATAAAACAGATTAAGATTTCTTCGTTTAGATAAGAGAAAGAGAGCATAAAAAAGATAACGTTCTCGTTTTCGTTCGGCTATCGCCGCATAAAATTTTCGAGACACCCTTTGGACGCATGGAACTATCGGAGTTCTATGAATTATACATCGCACCGTGACGGCACTCTCGTCGCCAAGTTTCTCTCGCGATGGATGATCGCCGAATACACTCGCCCGAATAGAGAGATAGAGCAAACAAATGGAACTCTTGATAAAACCATGGCGAATAATTGAACGATAAACGGCGATCTTTTTCATCGAGCAATGATTCGTAAATTGATCGCCTGCCAAACTTCAAACCACACACATTTTTAAGCCAGAGAAAATTTTTTCTTTTTTTTTTTTTGGAAATTTCCCTTTCTATTTTAACACTTCTTGCTTAATACATGAAACGTTGAAACGTGATTGTACTTTTTTTTGTTGGAAACACGGTACTGCGCAACGAATCGCATCAAATCTTTATTTAAAAAAAATTGGAAATGTTAATAAAAAATTTAAAAATAAATTTGTTGAAACTCTTCCCATCTTTTTTAAATATAGATATGATATTAGTATTTATATAACAGTATGATATATCGATTACTATATTTTCAGAAATGAAAAAATTTTTAGAAATTTTTCTGGCAAATTGGATTTTTGTGAGATTATGATATAGCTAAATATATTTCTCGAAAAATAGAATTATGATTTATATTCTAAGAATTGTCGAATAATACTTTAAATTTCTTTGTTTTAACTAATTTTAATAACTAATTTTCGTTTTTAATAACATATCGAAGATATTGAATCTACTTTCAATATTTTCTTCTGATTATATTTGCGTTTTGATAAGAGAACAGATCGAGATCTTTTCTATTTTGATCAATGATTTACGAATATTATAAAACTCAAAGCACAAACGATGAGCTCCGATTTAAATAGGAAATTCTATTCACAGGACAAATTTCACAAATTATATATGCTTGCTTGTGCCTAAGCGCCGCGATAAAGTCTTTGTCTTCTTGTTAATCTTGTTAATAGCCTTAACAAGTATCTCTCAGTTGAAATTTTAAATCGTGTCCTGTGCATCTGCCGATTGCAGAGAAACACGTGCTGAGCACGTGTACACGCTGGGCCGTAAAAAGGAATGACTTCTTGGCAACATGCCGCGCCCGACGTTGTTCCTAACATTTTCAAGTGCGTTCTCTATGTGTGTGCGCGCGCGTGATTTATTCGAACAAAAAACATTCGCAGTAGTTTAGGTATTTATATGCAAATTAAATCCGTTCTTTCAGTAATAATGGTAACATGTGTTCATCACATCTTTCTGCTGTACATTTTGAACGTGCGAGACGCAGTTTGTAAGTCGTGTATTTAAAAATAATTAAAAATTTTTTATATATCTAAAATAAGGAAATATATATCTTTTTAGAAGAGAAAATTGTTTCCTAAAAAATTACAGTGTCATTATTATTATATATAAATACGTAATGATAAAATTATAATAATCATAAATCAATTTTAAACACAAGGGATAAATAATTTTACATTTTGCGTAAAAATAAACGAGAAGGGATCGTTGCAAAAAAATAAAGGATGATATAAACTATTTTATTGCTTTAAAAATTTCTTAAACTTGTTAATATCGAGTGAAGTAGCAAGTACTCGTAGAATTAAATATTGAGCATCATTCGGATCTGATTCGGCATTTGTCACTGTTGTCATTTTATACAACCAGGCGGCCGCAGGGCTGCCCGATTTTACTCTCATGCGCATGTTTAACAGTCCAGTAGTGGTTAAAAGGACCTCCTGTATTTTCAAGCGCAACAAATCGATTCCTGTAAATATTTAAACCGTTTCACAAGTTGTCACATTCCAATTGTATCCATTCGATTCGTTAATGGTGAACAATGAATATTGATCGCACCTGTTAGAGTCTTAGCAGAGACGGCAATCGCATCTTTGGGTATGCAATCGCTTTGAACAAGATCGCACTTATTAGCGACGTCGATTACTGGCTGAGTTCCTAACATGGGTTTTATCGTTTGCCGAACATGCTGATACTGCGCCTCCATATCAGGATGACTGATGTCATATATATGAATTATTACATCCTAGAATAAACATTTTTTAATTGAAAAACTCTATCATTAAGATAATATCATATAGAAAGATAATATATATATATATA